CAATATTTTGCTGAGTGTGTTATTGTGCTGATATCTTATCTCTAATTGTGCTGACAGCTGACTCCTGAATTTTTTGATATTCTTCATATTCTGTGTGGTCAGTTCACAGCAGTGATAGAAATTAATAATTTCCAATAAGTTTTATGGGCATTTTTACCTTTAAGCCATTTTTTCTAAAAGTGTACACCATCTTTTGAGTCAAATTCTTGCATTTGGGCTGCTACCAAGCAAATGAAATCAGTATCAACACAATGTATCTTTGCAGTGCAGAGGAAACACAGAAGCTGCATCTGAAGAGGCATTTAGATGCATTTACACACTGTTTAATGCAGCTCTGAGGGACATTAATGCATTTAACCTGCAGTTACAAATGCATAAATAATGTTTTGATATTTTAAACATAAAACATTGAAAACTGATGTTTGAAATTATTTAAAAATTGAAAAGGTACCTTAAATGTGAAATTAAAACCACCAGGTGGCAGCAAGTCACTGTTAACAAGTGAGTCATTGCGACTGAACCGAATCATTTAAAGGTTGATTCATTCAGGAACGAAACACCGTCGGGTTGCTCAGAGACACAAAACAGTGCTGTGGCTGTGTTTGGAATGATTTTTGTTGGAGAAATAGAGCAAAAACACGAAATATGGCGTCTAAAAGGTAAGTCTCTTAATATTAACTACTTGTTTATTGAACTGTTGTATAAAATCAATATCACATCATGCTGACATTGAGAAGAAAAAAACTGCACTCTTCGTGTGATATTAACTATATGAAATTATATAAATATATACATTTTCTGCCCCATATCATAAATTATGTGATAATTCTAAATGCATTTTAATAGACTGATTCATGCAGTGAAAGAACGCACTATAAATGCGCACGCGCACTAGTCTAACCTGCTAGACTTCATCATGTAATGTATGCGCGCACTCTGTAGCTGTTTTGTTTGCTTTTTGCGATATACTCGATAATATCAAATCCCACATCGTTAAAACAACAATTACGATATTATCGCATACCATACATATCGCTTAGATTGTTATAATGCATTGTCTTCTTACCGATCCACCAGTTCACATTTAAAGCTCTGCGTGTTTGCAGGGTAACAACATGGGTGGATTTTCGCATTGGTCTGAACTCTGAACAAAACTACAGTTTTATTTATTATCTCTGCCAGCAGGTGGAGCGTTTGGTAGAAATATCACTGTTTCCATGGTAACTGCTGAACACAGAGCAGCAGCACCAACTCTGAACCTGCAGCGCTCGTGTTTATTCAATTAAATCATAGCCTTTTGAAGTTTAATCTTCACATTCAGCCATATCGCCATTCTGGTCTTTCTGTCCCCAAATTTAAGACCTGTTGAAATCATAATTAAGACTTTCTTGTGCAATTTAAGACTTTTTAAGACCTTAAATTTGATACAACTAAATGTAAGACCCTGGTAAGCAAATACTCTACTAACAGGCTGACATCAGTTCATGACCAGATGGATCTAGTTCTGATCGAGAATTATCACTCGGTAAAAAGCTTACAGTTTTATTTATTATCTCTGCCAGCAGGTGGAGCGTTTGGTAGAAATATCACTGTTTCCATGGTAACTGCTGAACACAGAGCAGCAGCACCAACTCTGAACCTGCAGCGCTCGTGTTTATTCAATTAAATCATAGCCTTTTGAAGTTTAATCTTCACATTCAGCCATATCGCCATTCTGGTCTTTCTGTCCCCAAATTTAAGACCTGTTGAAATCATAATTAAGACTTTCTTGTGCAATTTAAGACTTTTTAAGACCTTAAATTTGATACAACTAAATGTAAGACCCTGGTAAGCAAATACTCTACTAACAGGCTGACATCAGTTCATGACCAGATGGATCTAGTTCTGATCGAGAATTATCACTCGGTAAAAAGCTCATTCAGGTTGAGTGCTGTATGCATTTATAAACAGGCTATACATGCATCTAGTGGCTAAACCATCGCATTTCAGATTATTTTCCTTATTTCTTTCCACCAGGTGGCACTAACCCGTATGCAATCACTAATGCACTTATTTATTTACATTTTATATATAAATAAATTCATATTTTAATTAGAATATTTAGTAACATATTATAGAAAAAACATATACAGCAAATACAGTACATTCATTTTACGAAAAAATGAAATTACTATACGATTATGGTCCCAGTGTGTTTTGCGTGTGAACAGTGAGACGACTAAATGAACAAGACCAGAGGATCAGAACATCATCATTATAATGAAGCAAAACCACCCAAACAAGCATTCAAATCAGCAGAGCATTCCTTCAGCTGCATCTTCAACAAATAACTTAATAAAATAAAAATCAAAACTTAATCAGAATTATAATCAATATTACGTATGTTTCATGAGCACACCTGTTCTCTGGCAGCGCCTCTGTGAAGCATCTGATCACAACAGTAGACACGGGATCTTCAGGGCTGCTAGAACACATACAAATGAGCTATCATGCTTTTGGCTCCAAAAATGTGAACAATATACTGCAACATATTAACACCACAATATAAAAGCAAATCATTGGCCTTAATATTTATAGACTGTCATGATTGTGTCTGTTAGCCACCTCTTTGTGTTCGCCAAAACTCCCTCCAGCAAATAGAAAGGGTCCTGAGGAAGAGAGATGGATTTATGAGTTTATGCAGGGCATGCAGGGGCGGCTCATAACTCTATATGAGGTGGGCAATATACCAGCAGAAATTCATCAACCAGAATAACTATTCAAGCACAGTTTCTTTTAGAGGTCGACCACTATATTACTTCCAACAAGTTAATCAGCATCAATAACCAATTTTTGGAAATACTGGTTATTAACAAAACCCACATCTATAATTAACCAGTTTTTTCTGGCTCCCATAGGCTTTCCAGCACCAGCCACAAAGGAGTGCCTCTAGAGACTAAATAAAAACAACGAGCCTGTTCTTTTAATGAACTGTTCAGGAGTTACAGGTTTAAACTAGTCTGACAAATTCTTTAATGCATTTCACTAGATGCAGTTTTGGTAATCCAGTAACAAAAGCTCAGCCAAGACGCAGTCATTTCCACCTGCATTTCACACGAGTCTCATGTTACCAGTTGAGTTAGATTTGATCGGGACCCTCAGCTCTTATAACTCACACTTGCGCACAAACACACCTGACTGACGAGATCATGTTGCGAGGCAAACAGGAATCAGGCGGTGAATGAAAACGATGCAGACAGACTGCATACTTGCCACTACGCAGCAAAATATGAAACCCTTTTATTGGTGCACTTTATTACAACAAATAGCAAAACGATCCCATAATTAGGCCTGTCACAATAACAACTTTTTGTTGTGCGATATATTTCCCCAGAAATAATTGTGATAAACAATAGTCATTTTAAGACCATTTTATGCCACTGAATATATAATCATAATATAACAGCATAATAATGCAAGAAGGCCTACACAATTTCAAATGACAACAAACTTTTAATTCTTAAGAATATTTAGATCATGGAAATTAAGTATAAAAATACTAGATACCTTAAAAACTTGAATAAATAGTAAATAAACATTTTCTAACAAAAGGTGCAAAGTAACAAATGCACAAAGAATTTGTATGTAGAATTTTTTCCTGACCTTCTTTTCTCTGTAAATTAAGGGTGCGTGTGAGAGCGTGTGCGTGAGAGCGTGTGTGAGAGCGTGTGCGTGTGAGAGCGTGTGTGTGAGAGCGTGTGTGCGTGTGTGTGAGAGCGTGTGCGTGTGTGAGTGCGTGTGTGCGAGAGCGTGTGCGTGTGTGAGAGCGTGTGTGCGAGAGAGCGTGTGTGTGTGAGAGCGTGTGCGTGTGAGCGTGTGAGAGAGCGTGTGCATGTGAGAGCGTGTGCGTGTATGAGAGAGCGTGTGTGTGAGAGAGCGTGTGCGTGAGAGAGCGTGTGCGTGTGTGCGCGTGTGAGTGTGAGAGCGTGTGAGTGTGTGTGTGAGAGCGTGTGTGTGTGAGCGTGTGTGTGAGCGTGTGTGAGCGTGTGTGTGTGAGAGCGCGTGTGTGAGAGCGTGTGTGCGTGTGTGTGAGAGCGTGTGCGTGTGAGCGAGCGTGTGCATGTGAGAGCGTGTGAGCGTGTGAGAGCGTGTGCGTGAGAGAGCGTGTGCGTGAGAGAGCGTGTGCGTGAGAGAGCGTGTGCGTGAGAGAGCGTGTGCGTGAGAGAGCGTGTGCGTGAGAGAGCGTGTGCGTGAGAGAGCGTGTGCGTGAGAGAGCGTGTGCGTGAGAGAGCGTGTGCGTGAGAGAGCGTGTGCGTGAGAGAGCGTGTGCGTGAGAGAGCGTGTGCGTGAGAGAGCGTGTGCGTGAGAGAGCGTGTGCGTGAGAGAGCGTGTGCGTGAGAGAGCGTGTGCGTGAGAGAGCGTGTGCGTGAGAGAGCGTGTGCGTGAGAGAGCGTGTGCGTGAGAGAGCGTGTGCGTGAGAGAGCGTGTGCGTGAGAGAGCGTGTGCGTGAGAGAGCGTGTGCGTGAGAGAGCGTGTGCGTGAGAGAGCGTGTGCGTGAGAGAGCGTGTGCGTGAGAGAGCGTGTGCGTGAGAGAGCGTGTGCGTGAGAGAGCGTGTGCGTGAGAGAGCGTGTGCGTGAGAGAGCGTGTGCGTGAGAGAGCGTGTGCGTGAGAGAGCGTGTGCGTGAGAGAGCGTGTGCGTGAGAGAGCGTGTGCGTGAGAGAGCGTGTGCGTGAGAGAGCGTGTGCGTGAGAGAGCGTGTGCGTGAGAGAGCGTGTGCGTGAGAGAGCGTGTGCGTGAGAGAGCGTGTGCGTGAGAGAGCGTGTGCGTGAGAGAGCGTGTGCGTGAGAGAGCGTGTGCGTGAGAGAGCGTGTGCGTGAGAGAGCGTGTGCGTGAGAGAGCGTGTGCGTGAGAGAGCGTGTGCGTGAGAGAGCGTGTGCGTGAGAGAGCGTGTGCGTGAGAGAGCGTGTGCGTGAGAGAGCGTGTGCGTGAGAGAGCGTGTGCGTGAGAGAGCGTGTGCGTGAGAGAGCGTGTGCGTGAGAGAGCGTGTGCGTGAGAGAGCGTGTGCGTGAGAGAGCGTGTGCGTGAGAGAGCGTGTGCGTGAGAGAGCGTGTGCGTGAGAGAGCGTGTGCGTGAGAGAGCGTGTGCGTGAGAGAGCGTGTGCGTGAGAGAGCGTGTGCGTGAGAGAGCGTGTGCGTGAGAGAGCGTGTGCGTGAGAGAGCGTGTGCGTGAGAGAGCGTGTGCGTGAGAGAGCGTGTGCGTGAGAGAGCGTGTGCGTGAGAGAGCGTGTGCGTGAGAGAGCGTGTGCGTGAGAGAGCGTGTGCGTGAGAGAGCGTGTGCGTGAGAGAGCGTGTGCGTGAGAGAGCGTGTGCGTGAGAGAGCGTGTGCGTGAGAGAGCGTGTGCGTGAGAGAGCGTGTGCGTGAGAGAGCGTGTGCGTGAGAGAGCGTGTGCGTGAGAGAGCGTGTGCGTGAGAGAGCGTGTGCGTGAGAGAGCGTGTGCGTGAGAGAGCGTGTGCGTGAGAGAGCGTGTGCGTGAGAGAGCGTGTGCGTGAGAGAGCGTGTGCGTGAGAGAGCGTGTGCGTGAGAGAGCGTGTGCGTGAGAGAGCGTGTGCGTGAGAGAGCGTGTGCGTGAGAGAGCGTGTGCGTGAGAGAGCGTGTGCGTGAGAGAGCGTGTGCGTGAGAGAGCGTGTGCGTGAGAGAGCGTGTGCGTGAGAGAGCGTGTGCGTGAGAGAGCGTGTGCGTGAGAGAGCGTGTGCGTGAGAGAGCGTGTGCGTGAGAGAGCGTGTGCGTGAGAGAGCGTGTGCGTGAGAGAGCGTGTGCGTGAGAGAGCGTGTGCGTGAGAGAGCGTGTGCGTGAGAGAGCGTGTGCGTGAGAGAGCGTGTGCGTGAGAGAGCGTGTGCGTGAGAGAGCGTGTGCGTGAGAGAGCGTGTGCGTGAGAGAGCGTGTGCGTGAGAGAGCGTGTGCGTGAGAGAGCGTGTGCGTGAGAGAGCGTGTGCGTGAGAGAGCGTGTGCGTGAGAGAGCGTGTGCGTGAGAGAGCGTGTGCGTGAGAGAGCGTGTGCGTGAGAGAGCGTGTGCGTGAGAGAGCGTGTGCGTGAGAGAGCGTGTGCGTGAGAGAGCGTGTGCGTGAGAGAGCGTGTGCGTGAGAGAGCGTGTGCGTGAGAGAGCGTGTGCGTGAGAGAGCGTGTGCGTGAGAGAGCGTGTGCGTGAGAGAGCGTGTGCGTGAGAGAGCGTGTGCGTGAGAGAGCGTGTGCGTGAGAGAGCGTGTGCGTGAGAGAGCGTGTGCGTGAGAGAGCGTGTGCGTGAGAGAGCGTGTGCGTGAGAGAGCGTGTGCGTGAGAGAGCGTGTGCGTGAGAGAGCGTGTGCGTGAGAGAGCGTGTGCGTGAGAGAGCGTGTGCGTGAGAGAGCGTGTGCGTGAGAGAGCGTGTGCGTGAGAGAGCGTGTGCGTGAGAGAGCGTGTGCGTGAGAGAGCGTGTGCGTGAGAGAGCGTGTGCGTGAGAGAGCGTGTGCGTGAGAGAGCATGTGCGTGTGTGTGAGTGTGAGAGCGTGTGTGTGTGAGCGTGTGTGTGTGAGAGCGTGTGCGTGTGTGAGAGCGTGTGTGCGTGTGTGTTAGAGCGTATGCGTGTGTGAGAGCGTGTGCGTGTGTGTGTGCGCGTGTGAGAGAGAGCGTGTGTGTGTGAGAGCGTGTGCGTGTGAGCGTGTGAGAGAGCGTGTGCATGTGAGAGCGTGTGAGCGTGAGAGCGTGTGAGAGCGTGTGCGTGAGAGAGTGTGCGTGTGTGAGAGCGTGTGTGCATGTGCGTGAGAGCGTGTGCGTGTGTGTGAGAGCGTGTGTGCGTGTGTGAGTGCGTGAGTGCGTGTGTGTGTGAGAGAGCGTGTGTGTGTGAGAGAGCGTGTAGCTCATGAGAACAAGACAATTCAACATAAGGATGTGCACAGACAAACAATTCAGACTCACATTCACAACTTTGCTAAATATGATTTCTTATGGAACTAGGGGTGTAACGGCACGCGTAATTACTGTACATGCAGAACCTAATATTAAACTCAGATACAGGACGGGTCAATGTCATTTATACTGATATACCTTGCTGCGAATATACCATCGTTTATTAAATGCAAAAATATATTTATCACAAATGTTATCGTCATGTGAGATTATTTACAAAAGATCTGTGATTGCATAAAGGCATTTAAACAGCACCATAATAATCCAAGCTGTGTTCAGTAAACCACGGTTCAAAGAAAACGAAGAAGTACCTTAATGTTTTTTTTTTTATACTCTTCTGATTTACTGAAAACATAGCAAACATATTGTCACCTGTGTGCCATCACACCCCTCGCAGGGACACTGAAGCCTGAGCAAAGAAACACTGCATTACGGTAACAAACTACACTCGATTCATCATTTTAACCAGTATATCACCCACCCCTACAAGCCACGACAAACAACAGAGCATTAGAATCAAATATTACATGTCTGCATTATACGATGTATATCTCCATACTGTTAAGATCCATTGTTTTAATTACCATACTGATTCCCTTCTGGATCAACCAAGACTCAGAAGAAACTTCTAGCGAGTAGAAAACCTCCATCGAAGGCAGCGACTGAACCACGAGCTTCCTAGCACGACCCTTAACACGGATGACAAAATGTGAAGATTAAAACCAGAAAACTGTATTTTTAGTGATTGTGACAGCACTGTAATAGATACAAGTTTACACAAATGCAATCAAAATCATTCAACCCCGCAGAGACTGTAATAAAATATTGCATCTATAACAGTTTAGTGGCATACTAAAGGGGATAATGTCAATATATAACGTAATATTTTTGAATTACAGGGCTTATTTTTTATTTTGTTGTAATACACCATTTCATAATTATTTAACCCCTATTCACTGTTGCTGTTTATGAGTCACTTGTTTGTACAGTGGGGCACAAAATTGTTAAAACACAAGTAAGCCTTTAGAAACTCTAACACAAAACTTAACTTGCTTGAGCGTAGTGCTGGGCGGTATGACCAAAAATTTATATCACGGTATTTTTCAAAATTATACCGGTTTCACGGTACAAGACGGTATTTTCATGCTGTTTTCATCTTGCCTGTTTAACACAAAAGAAATGAATCCATCAATGTGTGAATTAATAATGAAAAATAAGCACCCTGTCTTTGTATGTCAAAACGAGACACTTGCTGTGTAATAGTTGAGGAGTTTCCGTCTGATATCAGCAGGAAATCTTCAACGTGTTGATCCGGCCAGCAACAAAGCATGACAAATGAGTGAAAGTCCAGCAAGCTGAGCATGCCCTGGAAAGAAGAAGATGATGTTCACATTAGTGGTCATTTACTACACCGTTTGTTTGGATAATGTGAACGCTGTTTTCTGAACTTGGGAGCACTCCCATGAACCACACCGAGTCTGCGGCTCAGTTCTTGCCAACTCTGGTCCAGTTCCTTTCTGATGTGAGTGCAGTCATACTCAAAGAAGTAAACCGCTTTCGATGATGTATGAACTGCTCAAACGGTGTATTCTCTCATTTTCCTGACAAGCGTGACTTGACGCCGCAAGCAGAGGATTTATATGTAATTTCTGCTCGATTCAGCAAAAATTGACTCCTGTTGAACCTTTGCATTACATTTGTGACAGAGAGATGCATATGCAGTTCTGAGCTGGTGATTTGGAAACAAAACCAAATTCTTAAAATCCAGAGTACAGCACTGAGGCGAGCAAGTAACGCATCCATCTATAACCGCTGGCAACAATGATGGAATCACACACTGGTTCTGTGAAACATACCTCAAACTAATTAAATTAAAATAATTTAATTAATGGAAAATTGTTTTCCATATCAAGTAGAGGAAGAAATTATGGAATCAGCTTGTAATTTGCATTTCCGAAACGAACACGGCATTAAAAAAAAAGCTAGTCAGCAGTTAAAAGAGAGCTTAACGAGCTTTTGGACTTGGCTAATTGAGAGGAAACATGACCCCAACAAGGATTATAAAACTGCACGGCGTTCTCTACCTGACATGGAAAACAATTTTCCATTAATTAAAAGAGTTTAATCTCATTTGTTTGAGGTGTGTTTCACTTAACCAGAGTGCTGAATTATTAAACAAAAATTGTTTTGTGTCATATCTGTGATTCGTTTATTTGTTATGAAGTAGAACATCATCTAAGTGTGGCGACTCCATTTTTGCCAGCGGTTGTATTTCTCCTCCTTCTCCTGCACATATTTTCTCCTTCTCCTGCATATATTTTCTCCATCTCCTGCACATATTTTCTCCTTCTCCTGCATATATTTTCTCCTATATTTTCTCCTTCTCCTGCACATATTTTCTCCTTCTCTTGCATATATTTTCTCCATCTCTTGCACATATTTTCTCCTTCTCCTGCACATATTTTCTCCTTCTCCT